GCCCATCCTAGGCAGAGTTATCCTGAGCACAGACCCACCACAGAACAAAGTGGTTCAGACTGTGGGGAAGGCACCAGAAGATCTCAGAAATGACTGTCTCCCAAATTAACAAGTTAAAAAAGTTACAACTCCAACAGAGAACACGTGGAATAGAGCCTTGGAATCACCTCTTTAAAGGCCCCTAGTCCCCTCTGATGGGCAGAATCACAGCCCCTGGGACAGGAGTTCCCCTTGTGTTTCTCCTTTGCCACCAAAGCAATAAAATTCTCTTTCCTTTTTCTCAAAACTGTGCCCTCCTTATTAGGTTGGCATCTGGAGACAAGGACAGAGCTTTTGGTAACAGTAAGACCCTGTCTCAAAATAAAAAATAAAAAGGGCTGGGATGGAGCTCAGTGGAGGACCACCTCAAACAAAAAATAGTCACATTTTGGGTGGGACTAGGGTGGGGTGGGGTTGTGGAAGGGGAAGGGCCAAATGACTTAAGACTGAGGTCCCCCAACACCCCCATAACTGAGGATCCATTTGGGGACAGGCCAGCCATCCTGTTTTCAAGGGCTCCATTCATCCTTCTCCCAGAATTCAAGGGGGACAGAGGCTAAGCAGGCTGAGAAGGAGGTGCAGGGCCAGCACCCCTGGGCCACCGGTCTGCCACTTTCCTGCATCTGCAGGAAGGGAGGGGCCAGTGTCTGTCCCACCTAGAACTCTGGGATTCGGGCCTTGACTTCAGCAGCAATTCTCACCTTTTAAGGGAATCCTTCGTTTCTTGTTTATGTCCTTCGCACTAAACTCCGAGTGCCTTATCTCCATGTACCCATCTTTGGGCCCAGGGCCTGGCACAACAGGGGCAGCCATTGAATATTTATTTGTTTAACAAATAAATGGGCTGTGGACATCAAGCGCCACCTGGTGGAGAAGGAGTGTAGTGCACTTCAGATCCTGTCTGGAGCTCTGAGCCTTTAGGGAGGTGGCCTGGCCCTTTGGGGCAGCTCAAGTGTGAGGGTAGGTTGGGGTGGGGTAGGATCCCTGGACAAGGTCTGTTAGGGCATGCGGGACTCTCTAGGAGGCCAAAGGAGGAGGCTGTGCTGACAGAGCGAGGACAGGAGGCTGCTTAGCTGCTTTGAATATGTGAGATAAGGCATACGGGGTTGAGAAGGTGAGGCTCAGAGAGGTTAGTAACTTAGCTCAGGATACACAGCCTATCAGGGGTAGAGCTGGGATTCAAAGCCAGGCAGTGAGGCCTAGACCTAGAGGGCTCATGCTCTGAGTTACTCTGAGCTTCATTCGCTGGTTCATTCATTCTTTCTTTTTCAGAACCAAATGTCTAGTAGCAGGGCTGTGGCTGGGTCGCCAGTTCCCGTATGGCTCTGGCCTTTGCAGTCCTGTGGAGTCCTCCCCGTGGGGCCCCTCTCCTTCCTGAGGAGGGCTTTGGTGATCTGGGGTCAGAGACCACTCCTTGGATTAGAACCCACAGCTGACTTCCACATGTCCCCTTGCTGTTTGCTGCCGGGACCCCCCCTCCTCTACCTGCAGCCTCCCCCCTCTTCATCAGGTCTCTGTGCATCTACTGACTCAGAGCTCTGGTGCAGGTGGGCAGGAAAAAGCAGGGGTGTGGTTGGCTCAGGCAAGGGCAGGCTTCCCTGGAACTGGGGATTGAACCCAGGGCACTCTTCCACCAGTCCTTTCTAATTTTATTTTGAGCCAGGGTCTTGCCAGGTTGCTCAGGTTGACCTTGAACTTGCGCTTCTCCTGCCTCCGTCTCCCTGGGATCCTCCTGCTTTGGTCTCCGGGTTGGCGGGGCTTCCCCACTGCTCTGGGGAAGGCACAGTATTTTTAAGAAGGTCCCCAAAGGATTCCAATGTTCACCTGGCTTGAGCCCCTCGCAGCGTCTGTGTGATCGAACGTGGTCAGCTGAAGTGCAAGGACAGAAAGGACTTTGTCCGAGCCCCAGCTCCCTCGGCTGGCCTGGTCCGAGGCTGGCACTCTCCCGTTTCCTCCTGTCTCTGCTGTCACCCTCTCCACCTCCCCCTCAACGGCCAACCAGCCTCAGGTCCTCTTCCTGTGGACCCAGAGCCTCACCGGTGTCCAAGGCCTATGGCTGGGGAGTCTGGGAGAGTCAATGCCACGTGCTTGGACTCTGCAGAAGCCTGTCCACCTGTCAAGAGGGGCAGCTGCCAGCAGGAAAGCCGGCAGTTCTGGCAGTGACCAGCAGGTGGAGACAGGGTGGCTTATGGCTGGTGGGCCAGCGCTGCTCTGTTGGCCGCAGAACCTCTGCTTCCACATGGGGTCTCACTGCCTCTGTGTAGCCTCTGGTTCTGGCCATCGTGGGGTTAGGACCAGGAGAGAGGGACCTGGCCACACACTGTCCTGCACCTCCCTGCTCCCAGGCTATGTGTGGTCTTGGATCCGCCCAGCTCTGCTCTGTCTACACCCTGCTCACTCCCCTCCCTCCCACCATGAGTCCTTAGGCCTGTCCCCTGGGGACCAATCAGACAGGGGACAGACATCAGGGATGGGCCGGGCTAGAGCCAGGAGGGAGCCAGGGTTCCAGAGCCAGGCAGGCAGGCAGGAGTTGGAGTCTGAGAGGTCTGGGGCCAGACAGGAATGAGGTGGGCACCCTGGAGTCCCCTCCAGGCCAGCCCTGCCCAGGAGGTGTGACCTGCAAAGCACACACGTACTACAGGCTCCTGGGAACGTCCAGCAGGAGCTGAGCTGTGGCGTCGAGGTGGTCGGGTGTGTGTAGGAGGAAGCTGCCCACCTTCCTGAGGACTCAGCAGGTGGGTCATCGCCAGAGTCAGAAACTCACATGTCCAAACTCAAGGTCAACGTGCCCCCTGAAGTCAAATATCAGTGGGCTATGAACTGACCTCTCACTGTCCGTGCTGCCCTCTCCTTGACCAGCGCGGGGGCCGGAGCTGACAGGAACCTTTTTGCACTTGTCCAGGGTCATTCTAGGAGGAGGAAGGAGGAGGAGCAGGGGTGGCGGTGGTGGCCTGGGAGGCCCCGAGAGGCAGCCACTTCCTGCGAGTCTCTCCCCCTGGGTAAGCATGGCCCCAACTGCCCAGCACCCTCTTCTCCAAGTGCCCCTGGGTCAGCAGCTGCAGCACCCTCCTCCTGCCCCCCACTGCCTTCTCCCAGCCACTGTCCCCTGCCCTGTGCAGTCACTCCCTAGGGAGCCACAGCACGGTGACTGGAGGTGTTTCACAGGACAGGTGTGGGCTCTTCCAGGCACTGGAGGAGCAGGGAAGGTGTGTGTGCTGGCGGGCGGCCAGCCAGCAGTGAAAACAACCCCAGGGGCTACACGGCTGGTTCCCGTTGCTGATCTCCTGTTGTCCCTGTGCTGGGGACAGAGCCCAAGTGCTCCACCTCTGAGCTACACCCCAGCATTCCCCCTGTTTCTTAAAAACTTTGATACAGGTCTTGCTGAGACCGGCGTTCCTCCAGCCTCAGCCTCCTGAGTGGCGGGGATCACAGGTGCACCAAGCACCGCTGCCCACCCCCTTTTAAGTGTCCCAATAACCTAGGAAGTGGGCAGAGCGAGTGGCAGTGTCCCCTTCTGCAATGAGAAAACTGAGCGAGGACACACCTGCCACTCAGGCTCCGACCTTCCCAGCTGTGGAGGCCCATTGCCACAGGCAGGGGACCTCCCTGCTGTCAGGAGCCTCTCACCCACCTCCTGCCCCTGGTCACCTGTGGAGGGGTCCCTGGCAAGTGCCTGTGACTCAGAGGGTCACTAGGGCAGTGCTGGGAGACGCTCCTCTCAGGTCCTGCCGTCTCCGTGTCCCTGGGGACGTGTGTGTCTGGATCAGCAGCCCCTGTTGCCCTTGCCCCCTCCTCCTCCTGAGTGGCTTGAGCCTGTATTTTATTGAGGTACAACGTGACATAAGTGCAAGGCAGGATCCTTTGACACACCCCTCCCTTCTCCCTGCTGGGCAGTTTGGCAAGAGCTTGAGGGAAGCCTTTTGTCCCTGTGCCTGATTCTTGTCCCCCCACTCTGGGCCGTGCAGTGGCTCTGGGCCCCTCTGCCCAATTCCTGGGTGAGCTGAGTCTGCAGGGCCTTGTGGTCCCTGTTTTCCTAAAGTCCTGCAGTCTTTCCTGGAGAAGGAGGGCGTGCAGGGCACCCCGGTGATCAAACACGTAAATGAGCACTGCAGGGGACAGGGGTGTGGGAGGTGGCCCTGAGGCAGGAATGTCTCCTGAGAAGGTGGTGTGCGAGCCCTGGGAGAGTGGGGGGGGACACGGGGAGGCTGGAGATGACGTGGAAGAGCCCCCACCCCACCCCGTTCCCTCCCACTTCCACTGAGCATGTCCCCAACTCTGCAGTGTCACATGGGGAAGCCAGAGCCCTCTCCCTCCAGGGGAGCCAGGTCCCGGGTGCTGCTCCTTCCTGAGCCGGCCCAGGGAGCCCAGGCTGAGCCCTGCAGCGAGGGTCGAGGGTCCTGGGCCTCTGGCTGCTTGTAGCTTCCTCTTCCTCTCTGTCTACCCTGACCACAGCACCCCCAGGACAAGAGGGGGACATGTCATGGCCACCATGACTAGCAGGTGTGGACTGTGCCCAGGGACTGAGGGGATGCACTGGAACCCGGGTTTGAGGTGGCTGGGCTCTTCAAGGCTGTGTTGCCGAAAGCTGGGTCCTTGTCCCCGATGCCGATTCAATAATAAGGACACAGTTTTGAGAAAAAAAGAAGATTTATTGCTTTGCAAGCAAAGGAGAAACACAGGGGACTCCTGTCCCAAAGGCTGCGGTTCCTCCCATCAGCAGGAACAGGGGGCTTTTAAAGAGGTGGCTCAAAGGCTCCGTTGCTCTTGTCAACTTGGGAGACAGTCATTTCTGAGGTCTTCTGGTGCCATCCCACAGTCTGGGTTACTTTATTCCTATGGAGGGTGTGCACTCAAGGACAGATAAGTCTACCTAGGAGGGAGAAGGAGGGTGACCCTGTTTCCCTTGAGATTAGGGAGGAGCAGAGAGGAAGGGAAAGAAGCATGTCCCTTTTAACGATACATGGCAGTGGCAAGGGCTGTATTCAAGGCCTAAAGGACACCATGGTTACATTTCCTCACTGTCAATTTCTACATTCCATTTGTGTGGAGAAATGGGCGACAACATTTCCAAACCACTGTCTGCTGAAGGGAGGCGAAGTTGGGGAGTGACCCAAAGTCCTTGTTCTCCATCAGGTGGGGTGTGGACAGGTAAGGACACTCAGCCTCAGAGCAGTCAGAGGTCCACAGTGGCAGATGGCCCTGATGGGACGAGGCGTACAGAGGGCAGGGATCATGCAGAGCTTCAGGGCCCAGAGGGGGTCCCATGGTTGTCTAGGCCCTGGCTGACCTTAGAGGGCCGGGGCCAAATGTCCAGGGCTGCTTTCCCTTGGTCCTTTTACTTCCTTGACTTCGGTCTCCAAGTTTTTGGTTTTAAACACCCAACTTAAAACCAGTTCTGCCAATCGTAAAGAGGGAGTAACAGGTTATAACTTCAATATCTATAATTTCACAGACACACCTTTCATTTCATTGGGATGAGTATTAGTACAGGAAGTCAGCATTACATACTATCCTGTAGGTGAAGGTTTATTACCTCCAATTAAACCAGGTTGGTGTTTTTTTTTGTTTTTTGAAACAGAACCTCTGCAAAACACTAACAGGCAACAGTTATAAAGTTTACAAGGAAAACACAAAATGAAATAAACAGAGCAAAAATATATTCAGTTTGTGTAAGAGCTATGAACCAAGAAAAACGACTTTTATAATCTTGAACCTTCACTTAGTTATATATTATAATCCCTGTTGGAGATCACAGTAATCCTTACAAAAAAAGTCAATCTTTTGAACACAACTTTAAATGAGCTGAAGTGTGGCTTATTTTGGAGCCATTTTGACATGGAGTAAGGTGGGAGGCAGAGCCTTATCCCAGGCAAGGGGGGCTCTTCACAAATAACACAACACAACATTTCATGGGAAACAAGAATCAAGGAAAGTCTAAGAGAGCTTTTAACTTTCTTTTTGTGGAAAAAGTGGCAGACTGCCTCCATGTTTTACAATGTCACCTTTAAGCAGATCAGGATCTCCTTATCATCTTCCAAAAAATGCATTTAAATTCCAATTCCAGTGTGAAAAGCAGCACAAAATTGTATATATAACATTGACCACAGGTCACTCTCTCCCGCATCCGGTGCAGGCGACGGAATTGGGGTTCCTCTTCACAGAGTGGGCTGGTTGCGAAATATAGGCTAAAAAAGAAGAAGAAGGCGGCAGAAAAACCACAGGACACAGAAAACAATTTTTAAAAAGCGGGGGCAGCTATAGGAAATAGTAAGTATTTTATACTTTCCCTTTCTTTTCTTTTTGCAGCACTGGGAATAAAACCCAGGCCTCCCATAGGCTAACCTCTAACTTTATCAGGAGGATATCCCTAGCCTCTGTTCTGGTTTTTTGTTTTGTTTTTTTTTTGAGGCACTATAAAACTACCTTAAGTAGATTTCTAAAATGCCATTGGGTACTAAATTGTGTCATTAAAAAACAAATCCCGGGGGAGGGGGGGGCCGCTGGGGTTGTGGCTCAGCGGTAGAGCATTCGCCTAGCACATAGAAGGCGCTGGGTTCAAGCCTCAGCACCACATAAATATAAATAAATAAATAAAATAAAGGTATTAAAAAAAATCCAGGGCTGGGGATAAAGCTCAGTTGTAGAGTACTTGCCTTACATGCACAAGGCCCTGTGTTCAATCCCCAGCAACACACACACACACACACACACACACACAACCCAAATCAATAAAATATTTTTAACTCAAAAAAAAAAAAAAGGGGGGGGGGGCAGGAGGGCTCGCGGATCTTAAGGATGGAGCTTCCACACTAGAAAGAGAGGATGGAGCCTGCGCTTGCTTTATTTATATGGGGAACCTCAAAGGTTTTCCATGGAATGTTCTGTGCCAAATAAGTTAGCAGGTGGGCTGTCCAGTTCCCAGTGGGTTAAGCCCAACTCCAAAGCTAAGGAGTGAAGACAGAGATCTCATGCTTTGGTCAGTCTGATGTGCACGGGAGAGCCAGGAGAGTTCCCGAGGAAAAACCCTAAGTCTCATGGCTGGGTTCCGAGTGAAGACACCCCTCAAGTAGCTCACGGGTGGCTCCCCACAGGTTACTTTATCCAGCTGTAAAACATCAAATGACATGAATAAATACCAACCAAATTCGTTATTTCTATGCAAATCTGAGACTTGCTACAGATAATTTTAGTTTGGAGAACACCAATTTGGCAAAGTGCACTCCTAAGCTTTATATTTAACTAAGTTTAACTTTTAAAGTACAATTGAGAATCCATAGTGTCAGATAACAATAATCACAGGTCTACACAGGTTAGCAAAAATCACAGGATAACTTTAGATCTCTCATATATTTAGGAAACGGTGTTAATGATCAGAAATTGACTTAGTCAAGCAAAAATTATAAGATGGGTCTTCAAATAACAGTGTAGCCCTTCTATGTCAGATACAATGTATAAAAGAGAGCACTTACTGTTGTCTTGCCTGTAAACTTACATAAACTTTCATTTTATAAACACTTTCTTTCAAATTGTTTTAGCTGTAGATGGACACAATACCTTTATTTACTTTTTACTTCATTTACTTTTTATTTATTTACTGTTATGTGGAGCTGAGGATTAAACCCAATGCCCTCACATGTGGTAGGTAAGTGCTCTGCCACTGAGCTACAACCCCAGCTAGACAAGGCTTAGACAGACATAGTTCTCAGATGCATACATATACCTAGTCACATATATTTGGGGTGTCAACTATACTGTTGTAAGCTAAATATTGGTTGTTTGTTTAACCAGTTACAAAGTAATCATTTAAGACTTTAAAACAGGTACAAACTCTAATTCCTTTAAGACTTAGTTTCCCCAAGTAATAAAACCTAATAAATCCAAGAAAATTATCTCAATAGATAAGAGCAGATCCATGTTTCAGACTTTGCTTCATATCAGCACATGAAAGTTCGAACAATTTTGACTGTGCTAATTATAGCCAATTTAATCACAAACTTTGAGATTTACCTTCCACAAACCTTCTGTGACTTAGTTAAACATCCACAACTTCTTTATACCCTTAGTTTTTTTTTTTATTCTGTTGCATCTTGGACTTTAGCCCAAGTATATTACTTTTTTAATAATTTTTTTCAGTTATAGTTGGACATAATACCTTTATTTTATTTATTTATTTATTTTTATGTGGTGCTGAGGATCGAACCCAGCGCCTTACAAGTGCTAGGCAAGCACTCTACCGCAAAGCCACAACCCCAGCCCCCCAAGAATAGTACTTTACCAGGCGAAATACTTTCCCATCCAGAAGCATTTCTTTTACCTTCCAATTTTCCGTACCAAAATATATTTCCATACCTATAACTTTATTTTATCTTTTCTAGTTTTAGATCCTTTCTTAAATTCATATTCTCAAACAGTCCTTAGGAATGTTATCTGTGCATTTTAATTTAAATCCAAGAAAATTGTCTCAAAATTATCACAAATATCATCCCAGGAGAGGGTTGGACTATGCCTTCATCTTTTTTCTCTCCAGGGTTTGAGGCTGACCTGTCTCCCTTGTCATTATCACAGTGCCATCAACTTGAAGTCAGTTCCCCACTGTCAATTGTACCCAGGGGCTCCTTTGGGGCCTTTCTCTTATACTGGGCCTGTCGATACATCAGTTCCTTCAGGTTTCCTTGAGATCCCTTTGTGAGGGCTGCCTAGGAAACACAGGTGGGCGGGCCTTAGTTTCTGTCTCCCTTATCTGGGTGCAGCTATTTATTCTGCCAGCGTCCCCAGGCATTTAGGTGGAAGGGATGCTATCATAGCAAGCATTGCTTTGTCCCAGTGATGAATATCTCCTGGCCAAGTCGGGTGTCCTGTCAGGTCTTAAAAGGGGAGATTATTCCTGTCCCCAGGTCATAAAGGACAGTGCTGGAACCTACTGCCACCTCCCTTGTGGCCAGCAGCCTCCACCCCCCAGGGGCAAAAGGGGCTGGAAGGCAGGGCACAGGCCAGTTCTCTGGCCATTTGTCTCCCACCCAGGGAGCTTTTCTGGGATTTCCCCCCACCCAGTTCAGGGCTGGTGTCCTTGACCCCCACCGAGATGACCTGCGGCTGCTGGGGCCAGGCTGAGGAACAGTGCTGGGGGGGCCAGTGCTAGCTTCAGACCCCTCATCCTGCAACTGCATAAACCCCTACCTACAGGATCTCTTTCATATGCTTTAACCCTGACAGCCCAACTTCAATGTCAAGAGAAGCCATTTAAAGGCCAGGTTGTGTTCCAGCAAACCCTCTTTCTCTTAGACAGGCTTATCCCCATCGGTGGCCCATGCAGCCCAGATCTCTCTGCTCAAGAGGCTCCCAGTTAGATCAATGCAGCAAGGCCTGGGTCTTAGAGGGCCAGTAACAGAAGAGAGAGAGAGAGAGAGAGAGAGAGAGAGAGAGAGAGAGAAGCCCCCAAACCATGGCTGACAAATGGGAACCTTTAAATTGACCAGCTAGGATCTCCCCCAAGAGACTACCCACAGGGTCAGTGCAGTACTGGCCATGTCTTAACGAAACAGACAACCAGAGGGATCCCCAAGTCCAAGACCAACAAACAAATGAGAACCTGGAACAGATGAGAAGGGAGTCCCTATCCCTAGGTTCTCGAGTCCTGCGTAACTGTGACTCCTACACCAGTGGTGCCACAGAGGTCCCCAGAAAGAGGGACCAGGTGTGTGGAATCCAGGGTCTCAGCGTGCACAGCGGGGAGCTTACCAAGTGGCCAAAGTTGTCACGAGTTTCTAAAGTTCAGTTTCCTTTTTCTCAAAGTGGACCAGGATGGAGCACCCCGTACCATTCAGGGAGAGAGGGCGGGAGTTCCCTGAAGCCAAAGGAGCTTCAGCAGCTGCCGGGACGGTCCCCCAGTCCCTCCCTTGACTTTCGAGAACAGCTCCTAGGTTCTACCCAAAGCCGCCTCGCCTCCTTCCTCTCCTGCCTCCCAAGAAGTTCACCAGGACCACGAATCCTCAGCATGGAAGTGGGGTTCCTCAGAGAGCCAGGGCTGCCCAAGAAAGCTGGAGTGGGGGCTGCTCCTGGGTCCCATCTGGGGTGCCAAAATGTCGCTGAAATCTCAGCCTTTGTCTCTGATGCCGATCCAATGAAGAGGACTCAGTTTTGAGAAAAAGGGTTATTGCTTTGCTAGCAAAAGAGAAACACAGGGGACTCCTGTCCCAAAGAGGTGGTTCTGCCCATCAGCAGGAACAGGGGGCTTCTAGAGAGGTGGCTCAAAGGCTCCATCCCCTGTTCTCTGTCTGGAGGTGTCAATCACTTGTTAACTTGGGAGACAGTCATTTCTGAGATCTTCTGGTGCCATCCCCAAAGTCTGGATGACTTGTTCCTGTGGTGGGTTTGTACTCAAGAGAGAAATCTCTAGGATGGGAAGAAAGGCAACCCTGTTTCCCCTGAGATTGGGGAGGGGGAGAGATTAAGGAGGAGCAGAGAGAGAGAGAGGAACAGAAAGAAACAAGTCCATTTTAAAAATAAGTCGCAGCGGCAGAGCAGCAGGGGCTATACCAAAGCCCGAAGTGCACCTGTCACAGGTCCCCCAGGCCAGGCCTGACTCTCGCGTGGTCTCCCCCTCCTTTTCTGGTCTGGTCTGCAGTCTAGGTCTAGGGTTGAGCCAGGGCCCTGCTGTGCTGGGCAGTGCTCTGACACCCAGCTGCACCCAGCCCTGGGTCCCAGGGAGGGGCAGGAGGGTGGGTGGGGTCAGGCCACCGCAGCTGGTCTCACCCATCCCCGGGGAAGAGAAACCAGGAGCCTCTGTCCTCTGGCTGTCCTCCCTGGCAGTGTGTCCTGCAGGTCTGCTCTGTCTCTGGATCTTACAGGTGTGAGCCCCAGCTGTGTGCACTTGGCCACAGCAGAAGCACAGGACATGGGGCCCTTGGTGGCTGTCAGTTATTCTCGGCCTCCATCAGGTAGGTGCTCCCTGGGCTGTGAAGCCTTCTTCCCCTGGGCCTCACCACAGTGAGCGGCCTCCTGCTTCTCCGGGCCTGGTGCCGGGCTCTGGCTGCACTGCAGAGGCACCCACCGGTCAGTGCTCTCCCGGAGACAGCCTCAGACTTCCTGGGGGAGGAAGTGGTGGAGGGAGGAGAAGGCTGCGGTGGTGGGAGGGGCTCTGACTGCGCTGCCTTGGAGGGCAGAACCCTGCCTAGCGTCTCCCCAGCTTGTCCACACCCAGATCTTTCCTGAGGACCCCCCACCCCCATCTCTAGAGTGTGTGTCCATCCTGGGAGGAGACTGGAAGTGGGACCAGAGGCTTTGTGGCTGTGGAGGGACCCTCTCCTTGCCCTGGAAAGGGGCTCAGCCCGGGGTTCTTGGGTTTGTCTTCCTTCCCCTGCATCAGGTCCAGTGAAGGACGCAGGGAGCTGTGGGAAGGTGCCACCTCCTGGGTTTCTGAGGTCATGAGGTCATTTTGCATCATCTGTGTTTTCCCTTGGATCTGGGGTCAGGGACGAAGGACAAGTGCCACCAGGCATGGCCAGGATCAGGTCCTAGACCTGTTCCTCCCACAGGTGTCCCAGGGGTTTTCTCCCTTTCCCAAGGAGAACTGCATCTCGCAGGAGATTTACAAGGCCACCAGGACTACACGGGAGGCAGGGAAGGTCACGGCCTGTGGATGTCACAGTCAGATTGAGGACACATTTTCAGGACCAGGAACCATTCAGGGACTCTAGGGCCACTGTGCCAACCTGGGGTCAGGCCTAGAGCTGGCTCATGGAGGGGCAGTTCCAGGTTGGCCTCCGGCGGGGCAGGCCCAGTGCTGCAGACTCGGGCTCTGTGTGCCCCTCCCACTGGTGACATCCTGACCACAAGGAGAAGAGGAGGAGTGACAGGGCCAGAAGGAAGCCTGGCCCTGCAGGCCTGGGGTGAGGGCAGTCCTGCCACCTTGGGGCCAGGCGGGTCCCATCCCACCACACCTTCCCCTCCCTGGCTTTCATAGGACAGCACAAGCCCAGGGCCACCTCGGGGGCTGCTTGGCCCCTGCATCTTCTCCATTTTCTCCCCAGCCCCAGGAACAGACCTAAAGAAGACAAGCAGGAAGCAGCTGCCCAGAGAAAAGCAGAAGTGGGAGCCCTGGAGACTGACCCTCCCCAGGAGGCTGGAGCCTGGGTCCTGTGGGGCCTGGTGCCCAGTGGTGACATCTGTGCAGGAGAAATGAGCCCCAGAGGCCTGATGGCCTGGCCACCCTTGGCTCTGCTGCTTCTCTGGCTCCCAGGTGAGGGCCCTCTGTCCAGGGAGGGTCTGCAGAAGGGAGGGAAGGCAGGAGGGTGACCAGGAGGAGTCACGTGAGGAGCCCCAGCTGCTCGTCTCTGTGCAGACGCAGAATGGGGTGCGCTGGGTCCATGATGTAAGATGGACCTGCCAAACACCACACCCCTGGGAGGGAAGGGGCAAGGGGCTCCCTCTGAGCCCACCTGAACTTGGAGGAACCAGCGTGCTGCCCAGGGCAAAGGGTGCTGCCCAGGAGGGGCCCTGAGAGAGGTCTGGGGGAACCAGGACAGGGGGAGCAGGGAGGGGTGGATGGGGGTGGGGTGGAGAGGGCACCAGAGCACACCTGGGGCCTGTGTTGGGGAGGCCCTCCAGGTCCACCAGTTTGGGGTACAGAGGAAGGAGGGGACCGAGGAGGAGAAGGCCTCCATCTCAGGGACAGGTGGGTTCAGCCAGGGCAGCTGGAGGCTGGGTGGGAAGAGTCCTGGTGGGGCCCAGGGGTCAGTGGTCCCCAGGAGGGGAGTTGGGGACAGGAGAGAGGGAAGGGCAGTGGGCAGGGAGCGGGAGATCGTGGGAGGGCAGGGAGGAGACCTTCTCCAGGCAGAACTCCTGGGAGGGCAGTCTTCCCATGCAGGACCAGACCTCCTCAGGCGTCCCCAGCAGCGTTCACACTGCGGTCTTGGTGCAGGCCCAGGACAGGTTTATTTTATTTCATTTATCTTACATGCAGGATATTTTACAACTTTTGGATGCTCCTATCAGTTCTGTGCCTTCTCTACTAGTATTTGCAGTGTAAACACAGTGACTCTGGGGAATGTGGCTTTGTGGATTCACTGGGGCTGGACGTCCGCCCGTGGCCAGCGGCCAGCATCTCTGTTGATTCTCAGGGTCTTCCTGTGTTTTCATGGCATCTGCATGGGCCGAGGACAGGTGGCTCCTTCCTGGTACCTGTTTCTCTGTGGGCCCTTCAGCCCAGGCCTGGTGCAGACCCAATGAGCCCCTGTGGCTGTGCTCATCTGCCTGGCCCTGCCTCAGGGGACGCTGGCCAGTGGTCCCTAAGAGGAGTGAGGAAGCCGTCCACTCACATCTGTTCACAAAGCTTCTCTCCCTCTCTCCCTCTCTCCCTCTCTCCCTCTCTCTCCCTCTGTGGGGGATGTAACCCAGGGCCCTGTGCTATAGGCAAGGGCTCTACCCTGAACCCCACTCCAGCCCCCACAGAGCATTTTAGCACAGCAGCAACAGGCAAGAGAGAGCTTTTCCTGATCTGAGGAGCTGATTTTCTTTCTTCTTTGAACTTCTAAGATTTGGCCCAGGTGGGGTGTTGCACACCTGTAACCCACAACTCGGGAGTGTAAGGCAGGGCCATCGAAGTCAAGGCCAGCCTCAGCAACTTACTGAGTCCCTATCTCAAAATACAATTTTCAAGGGGCTGGGGATGTGACCTGATGGTCCAGTGTCCCTGGGTTCAGTTCCTAGTACCCGTCCCCCCATGCCCACCCATACACAGAGACAGGGCTGGCCAGATTCCGGCTCAGTATACTATGCTGAGTTCATGAAAAACCTTGCAGGGATTTCCCTGGTTCAGTATTTTCTGTAAAGCTGAGTGAATTGGAGCTGTGTGTGCCTTGAAGGGGTTTTGCTTTTGGTATTGGGCCTGAGTCCTGAGCCTCAGAGTTGCCGGGGATCACTCTATGCTGAGCCGCATCCTGGCCTGAGGTTTGAGAGAACTGAGAGAACCGTCTGTCAACTGTGCGGCTGTGGTCATTTTCTGGGGCGGGTGGGGGTGGGGAAGGACTCCTTGGTGACTCTTATTAATGTCCATCTGTTTTGAGAAGCCCCTCTATTTCTGGCTTAGGTTGGTCATTTGTATTTCCCTAGAAAATAATTCACTTCCTCCAGGTTACAGACTTGTAGAGACTCGGGGTGATTTTCCTTTCCCTTGTGCTCTGCCCTCCTCCTCCTCCTCCTCTTCCTCCTCCTCCTCCTCCTCCTCCTCCTCCTCCTCCACTGTGTCCTCCTCCTCCTCTTCCTCCTCCACTGTGTCCTCCTCCTCCTCTTCCTCCTCCTCCTGCTCCACTGTGTCCTCCCCCTTTCCCCCTCTTCTCCTTTTCTCCTCTTGACTTGAGGTTTAAGGAGGATTTAGAGCAATCCTGAGGGACAGGACTGGGTGTGGCAGGTGAGGGGGAGGCCACAGGTCAGGGCGAGGACCAAGACCCTGAATAGGGGAGCCAGCAACCCACAGCAAGGAGAGGAGGGGACAGGGGAGGTAAGAAGAGGAGGGGAGGGGACATGGAAGTGGGGACAGGAGAGATTGGGACAGGGGAGGAGGGGACAGGAGAGAAGGGGACAGGAGAGAAGGGGACAGGGGAGGTGGGGACAGGAGAGGAAGGGACAGGGGAGTTGGGAGTGTTAGGACTAGGCCGGGGACAGCATCCTGATTAAATAGGGCTGGGGTTGACATTCATTACTAACTACTTAATATGTGCCAATATTAGTGATTTCTGTTTTTCTGGAAAATCACACATTCATCCAGGTTACACATTTATTTACAGAGAGTTACTTTTGGAGAAGGGCACCAGGGATTGACTCAGGGCCACTCTGACACTGAGACACATCCCCAGCTCTATTTTGTATTTTATTTAGAGACAGGGTCTCACTGAGTTGCTTAGCACCTTGCTTTTGCTGAGGCTGGCTTTGAACTTGAGATCCTCCTGCCTCAGCCGCCCAAGCCCCTGGGATTATAGACACGCGCCATCGCACACGGCCTATAAATTCTACAAAGTCTCCTGTGGGCCCTTAACTCTCTCTACCTGTGATTACTTCCTCTCTCCATTTCTCATTTGGACTAGACAGGGGTTACCTGGTTTTGTGGGGTCACATCTGATGGAGCTCCTGTTTTCTTGGTCAAGGGCATTGAGCAGCAGCATTTCCTGAGTGTCACTAACATGACTCGCAGACAGTTGACAGCCAGGATGGCTCTTTCCCTCCTCCCTCCTTTGTTTCCTGGGGCTGGTGGAGCCTGGGCCTGCTGCATGCTGGGCAGCCTCTCCACTGACCTGGCCCCATCCTAACATGA